AATTTCAGCATCCAGATGTGCCTGGGAAGCTGCCTCAAAACAACCTGGGTGTTGTAAATCCCAGAGACTCCATCCAAGCTTCGGTAACAAAGCAAAGGATGGATTCAGTTCCAGAAAAAAAATGATTTTTGCCTCAACAGCAAGAATTTTCCAGGATCTTTTTCTTTCTCACTGCATTTCAGCACCATCTTAAGACCATTATGCAAAAATAGAAACACTCCTTTACTCATATTTTTATCCTCTCCACAATATTTTTGGAGAAATGTGAAGCTGACATAACACAGAGTCAGAGAGTGAGATTCTGTTACAAGTTTTATTCTTCTGTGCCTGAAACCCAGTCACAACCAAAGAATGTTGGGGAAACATTCAGCTCTGCTCTGGGCTGATTTAAAAATGGAATTATTCCTTTTTTTTTTTCCCTTGGAATGACTGCCTACCTGCCTGCCTGGTGGGCAATCAGCATAATCCTGTTTAGTTGCCTCTCAGCAAGAGGAAAATTAAAGCACAGTTCTGCTCCAGTGGATTCGTCTTCTGCAGCCCTGACTGGCAAGGAGCTCCCTGTGGTAAGGAAAGAGAAGAGCAAAAAGTTGTAAATTGCTCTTTTTTTTTGTTGGTTTTTTGGACAGCTCTTTGCTTCTGGGGGATGGGGGAGCCTTTATTAAGTTTCAAAGCGAGTCCAGTGGTCATTGATGCTTTAGAGGCAGCTCTGGGGGTGGATGTGCTGAGTGTGGCTCTGGCAGGGCACCCATGTGAAGGGAATGTGGCTCCCCAGAGCTTGCACGTGTGCTTGAACATTCCTGCCAGGCAGATCCCTACTTCTTTTAAATCAAAGCAGCCTGAGGGATGGATTTTTTTCAATTAAAACAATCCTGTATTGCTTGCTACCACGAGACACCCTCTTGTTTTAGTCTCTTCTATGCTAATTTTGCACACACTGGTTTTACACTTGCATTAATGGGCATGATGTGATGGTGAGGCTTGGAATAAATATTATTATAAATAAAAGCAGCAACTAGAGCAGCTGTTCTTTTAAAATAGCCAGGTATTAGTGATGCTGGTGTCTGTTATTTAGAGGCACGGGGTGATGGAGGTGCTTTAAATACCTTTAATATTTTAAATTAAAACAGAGACCAGTGACATCATGGGGAGAGTGGAAGAGAACAGTCAATTAATCCTCATATACTCTGTACACTCCTTTTAATTTCTGTGATTCTGCTCAGCTGAGAATCCTTTGTTCCTTTGAATTGAAGCACCAGAGCTGACTGGGTGGGTTAAAAATATTAAAATGAGACATTTAGTGCACACTGGCAGTGTGGAATGGTTTTTTACATGGAAGCCTGCATGTTAAATGTAACATTTTATCCTCAAGGATGGGAGATTTCCCGAATTCCCCCAAGTGCCAGGTGACTCCCAGGGATGCCATCAGCTGGGTGACATGTGAGCTGTGAGTCAGAGTGACAGGGCATGGCCAGGAAATGGAACATCCCTTCCCTGGCTATTTCCATCACCTACAGCCCCACATCCAAATGCTCCCAGCTCTGGGCAGGAGCCATCCCTGGCTGTGGGCAGCAGAACTCCAGGAGAAATCCAGGATAAAGCTTGGAGCTCCAGGTATGGACATAAAGAAGTCCAAGTTCTGAGTGCTCAGATTCTGAATTTCTGGGCTGTAATTTCACCTCTCCAGTTCTGATGACTTCACCCTCATTCCTTGGTTTGTGACATCACCAGAGCACAGGAATATCTCTGTGAGCCACCTTGTCTAAAAAGGAGAAGGAGATACTCTTACTTTTCTTCTATATTAAGACTTTTAAAAATAATCTGTGGCAAAGAGAGGGATGTTTCAAGGGACTGTCTCAGCTTTTATTGCCTGGCTGTGAAGAATATTGATCTGAGGTCATTTTGCATAGTGTTGTTATCCATCACCATAAACATCTGCAGAGCACAGAACAATCCCCCTCTGGCCAGGAGGAATTCTGAGGTGCATTCCCTAATTCTGCCCCTTTTCCAGAGCCTCCAAATAAGGGAGGACTCTGCTTTGTGGTTTAAAAATCTGGGTCTAATATTTGTGAAATGCCTGTATAGTTAAAATTCACTTTTATGATATTTGCATAGCAGAAGTGGAATTAATTTGACAGATTCCACTGCTGCTGCTTTTAAATGTGGCAGAAAACTTCAAATTTCCTGCTCACTTTTATGCCAAGTACCCAGTGAAGTCAGGAACTGAGACTTGCACTTCAGTTATTGATTGATGGGATTTTTTTCCCCTTTTTATTTTATATATTAAATGCACAAGCATGGCCCATAAACCTCTGTTAATGGCCAAAAAAAAGGGAAATGTGTCAGGTAATGTACTTGGAGCACCTCATTCCATTTGGATATGCCTGGGACTCGTCTCCATTGGATTTTCATCATAAAACCCATGATTCTGCTTTTAAATTACTTGGAGGCCTAAATTCAGGCTAGACTCTTGATGTCTTTGCTCTGTGAAGTATTTTGAGGAGAAAAGCTCATATTTCAGGAATTCTGCTCCAGGTGAAATGGTGTCCCCAGATTTTCCTTTATTCTGCCCCATCCCTGAGCTGGAGGGGCTTTGGGGTGATTTTTCCTCTGCTGATTTCCATGCGAGCTCTTCCCCTGATCCACCCCGGGAGTTCAAACTCCCACATCAGGGACTAAAATATGGTTAAATAGGAATAAAGATCTGCTGATATCTCCAACACAAACAACTGCTCCCCCACAGTACACAACAATTCGCGGTATCTGTTGTGTGCAATATTCTCTCTTCACAGATCCTTCTGTTCCAATTTTTGGGGATGTCAGCTTGCAGGGAAGAGGAGCTGCCTTAATTGATGTGATGTTCTCTCCAAGACTATTGTTTACCACAGAGGAATACTCCTGCTTTGCAAGGCTTTCACTCTTTGGTTGATTTTTGTGGAGAAGACGACTGGGATATAAAATTGTTTATAAAATGGTGTCAATACCAGTCTGTGAACTTATTCTGGATGCTCTAAAGGTCATTTTTACAAGGTGACAGGGACACCTCCCACTGTCCCAGGGTGCTCCAGCCTGGCCTTGGACACTGCCAGGGATGGGGCAGGAATTCCTCCCCAAAATTCCATTTACACATCCCCTCTGCAGGCCTGAAACCAGCGCCCTTGTCCTGCCACCATCTGCCCATGCAAATAAAAACAAAAACCTTGTGAAACCCTGCTTTGTTCTCCTCTGGGGTTGCTCTTTTCAAGCCAAGCTCATGGAGATTTAATCTCAAAAAGTTGGGTAATAATTGCTGCAAACTCAGTACCCTTCATAATAAAAAAATGTATCTAATATGTAGAAATCAGCTAATTGTTTTCAGGATAGAGAGGTATTTCTTCCTGAGGTTTTTATCCCAAATACTCTCAGGGCAAGGTTGGCTTTCTGCTGCAAGAAATAGATATAGAATATATAAACATATATAACATATACAAATATATAACATATATAAACATATATATAACATATATAAACATATATAGCATATATAAACATATATATAGCACATATAAATATATATGCTCTATAAAATATATATAGCATATAAAAATATACATAATGTATATAAACCTCTATAGCACATACACAATATGCACTATTTTTATACCATATAATTATACTCCATGATACAATACGTACTTAATATGTTGTGTGTCATTATGTTAATTGCACTCTATAATAATTAATATACCGTTAACATTAGCATAATTACTATTACATTATCAATAATATGCTGTAATTGATACAAGCTACATACAGATGTCTTTTTATATGGCATAAAATACATAATTTATACATTTTTCTATTGCATATAATACACAGTATATACAAATATTTGCATAAATATTAAACACCTGTTTTCTATAGCACATAATACATATCAGATACACATATTTACATAGGTACTAAATACACATTATATACACATCAGAATAATTTATATTCTAATGCTTTAATATAATGATAATAATTAATGGAATGGAATGGAATGGAATGGAATAGAATAGAATAGAATAGAAAAGAAAAGAATAGTGTGATATATATTACAATTTATAATAACATAATATTTATTTTGCATAAATATTAACTACCTACTTTCTATAGCACATACTACATATCATATACACATATTTACATACTTATAAAATACACGTTATATACACGTTAGAATAATTTATATTCTAATATATACTATTAGTATTAGTATATTAGTATATATATACTAATATATATATAGTATATATATATACTAATTATATACTATAATATTATTTGATAATACTAATAATGATGTTATGATAATTGACGATAATGTGATCATAAGCAATAATGATATGATATGATATGATATGATATAATATTATTATATAATCCCTGCCTCCATATATAATTATAATAATAATATACTATATAATTAATTGTTAAATAGACGATATTATTAATTATAGCATGTAGTATAATAATATAATGTTATGTTATATAATAATATAATATAATATAATATAATATAATATAATATAATATAATATAATATAATATAATATAATATAATATAATATAATATAATATAAATTGTAATACATTATTACATTTCATTACATTACATTACATAATAAATATGTAATAATATGCAAGAAATAGATAATAATATAATAATAATCAGTAATGATGCTATGATAATAAACAACACGATGACAATTAACAATAACAATTTTCCTATTCCTCTGCTCCCTTACTCCCCAGACAAAGCCCTTTTCCCCCCCGCGCCAGGCGCGCAGCAGCGCGGCACTATTTCCCTTGGCGGAGGGATCTCGGCGCGCCTGGCGGCGCGCCTGGCAGCGCGCAGGGATCCGGGCGCTGCGCTCCGTCAGTCAGCGCCGTCAGGCGGCGCCGGGACGCGGCGGGCGCAGCGCTGAGCGGAGCGGCCACGCCGGGCTCGGCTCCCGCGCCCTCCCCGCGCCCGCAGCCCCGGCCCGCCGCTCCCTCCCGCCGGTGCGATGCTGCTGCCGCTCGCCGTGCTGCCCTGCGCCTTCGTCCTGCTGCGGGCCGCAGGTACGGCGGGCCGGGGGCGCGCCGCGAACAATGGGCTCGGGCGGACCCCGCGCTGCGGGGGCTCGGCGGGGCCGCGGGGTGGCGGAGACAGCAGGAGGAGGAGGAGGAGGAGGAGGCGGCCGAGCCGGGCTGGGCTGGGCTGGGCTGGGCTCCCCCGGGGCCGGGCTCGCTGCGCGGGGGGCGCAGACAATGGGCGCGGAGGGGATGCTGCGTGCGGGGTCGCGGCGGGCTCGAGGATGCTCCCGCGGCCGCCGCCCTCCGCCGCCCGCCGGGGCACGGACGCGGCCAGGGAGGGAGCCAGGGATGCGATCGCCGTGGAGCGGCTGGAATAATAAAAGGAGAAGGAGGAGAGGGAGAGGAAAAAAAAAAAAAAAAAAAAAAAAAAAGAGAAAAAGGAGGGGCGCGGGGCGCTGCCGTTGTGGAGCGGCCCCGGGCGCGAGCCGTGGTGCGGTGGCCCCGCTGTGGCCGCTCGGTAGCCGCGGTGACCCCCCCGGGGTCGCCACCGCCCCGGGTTCGGGAGCGGCAGGTGGGCTGGGAGCGGCGGGATGGAGCGGCCACACCTGCGCCGGCCCCGCCCCAGCCAGCATCCCTGCTCCGAGCTGCATCCCTGCTCCGAGCTGCATCCCTCTCCGAGCCGCATCCCTGTGTGCTCCATCCCTGCTCCGAGCCGCATCCCTGCTCCGAGCCGCATTTCCGTGTGCTCCATCCCTGCTCCGAGTCACATCCCCGCTCCGAGCTCCATCCCTGCTCAGAGCCGCATCCCCGTGCGTTCCATCCCCGCTCCGAGCCGCATCCCCGTGTGCTCCATCCCCGCTCTGAGCCACATCCCCGCTCCGAGCTCCATCCCTGCTCAGAGCCGCATCCCCGTGTGCTCCATCCCCGTGTGCTCCATCCCCGCTCAGAGCCGCATCCCCGTGTGCTCCATCCCCTCTCCGAGCCGTTTCCCTATGCTAGCCATCCATCCATCCATCCGTCCGTCCGTCCGTCCCTCCTCCCCGGCGCTGTCCGTGCCGGCGCTCCCCGGGGAGCGCTCCCCAGCCGCGCTGCGCTCCGCCGGTGTTTGTTCCCTGTCCCGTCCTGTCCTGTGCTCCTCAGCCCTTGTGCCCCGTCCCCGGGAGCATCCCGGGCCGGCGGTGCCATCGGCCCCTCGCAGCTGTCCCCGCGCCTGGCTGCGCTCCGGGATTTCCCCGGTGCCGTGTCCGTGTCCCCGCGCTCCCCGCAGCTGTCCGTGTGTCTGTCCTTGCCGTGCTCCCTCCCTGCCTCCTCCCCACGCTGAGGATTTTTATCTCCTTAAGCAATTACCGCCGCTGGGGCTCTGTCTGCGTTCTCGGTGACAGTGGCTGTCGCGGTGACAGTGCCACCAGTGTCCCCAGGGCTGCTGCCAGACCCGAGCCACCTGTTTAACATCACCGCCCCCCCTGCGCCCTGCCCGGCTCTCCGTTTAGCCTCTGTTTAATTCAAATAAAAACCAGGAGTGCTCGTGAGGGGCTCTGTGCATGGCGGGGGGGTCGCGCTCCCGTTCCAGCCGCTCCTGCCCTGCCCAGCTCCGCATCCTGCCCGGCCACACCCTCCCATCCCCGGGGCTGCACATCCCTGACACATCTGACACATCTGACACATCCCCACCGCCCTTTTCCGCTGGGGGAGGCCACAATAAAGCGCCTTGCTTTGGGCTTTTTTGGTTCTTTTTTTTTTTTCCCCCCCCAGGGGAAATAAATGGGAGTAAGCAAAAGAAAAATTATCTGCATATCATCTGTTGCCCCACTCGAATACATGTTTATCCAATAATAATAATTATGAATATGGAGACTGCCTAGGGAGCTGCACAGCTGGATCTGTTAAATCAGCACAAAATGGAGAACACAAAAACCAAATAAAATATTAAAAAGCTAGAACAAAGCAGCAGCAGTGTTTATGGTGAAAGCAGCACCAAGCACATCCAGCTCTGCTTTCCACCCTAAAGGATGCTCTGCTTGTGTTCCTTCTTTTTTTCCCCACTCTGTGATGGAGGAGAAGGAATTTTGCTTTGAAAGCTGTGGAGATGTCAGTGCAAGAGGGTGTTTTATTTATTTTTATTTATTTTCTGATTGTGCTGCTATAAAAACCCTTAAGCTTAAATGTAAGAGGAGGCAAGAGGGAGATATTCATCAGTGAGGAATCCCTGAGGAAACTGTTGTGTGAGCACAGTTGTGGGGTGGGCTCCCAACCAAACCGTGTCTTTTATGGCTTTTAGAATAATTCCACATTTCGTGTGTACCCCCGTGGCCTGTGGTAGTGATGATTTATTTTATTTAGTCTGCTGTAAAATTAAAACGTTCTCTGATAATGTAGAAGCTGATTTATAGACAGAGCAGATGGCTCCTCTCCTTTCATGTGCATCCTGAGAACTGCGGTTTCCTAAAGAATAGAGAGGATTTTGTATCAACTTTATCCCCTTGACACATGAACTTGAAAATTCCCCAGCTGACTCTTGGGCTGGGTTTTGTTTTTTGGCTTTTTTTTTTTATTTTGGGTCTTCAGCGTGTGGGTTTTGTCAGAGGTTTATTTTAAGGACATTTCACATGAGTAACTCCACAACTACCCGGTTTTTAAGTGTTAAACATTGTGGCTGCTCTCCAGGCTGAAAGTGCCTTCACTTTTCCTGGCTGGGCTCCAGAAATGTATTTTAAGGATAACTGCTCTGCCTGGGTGCAGGCGCTGGGCACAGAACGCCAGGGGGGTTTTTTGATGGTTTTCCTGCTTGTTTGGGGTGGGAGGGCGATGCCGTGGATTTCCTGCACGGGCTGCCAGGGAAGCAGAACCAATTGCTGGGGGAGGAGGAGGAGGAGGAGGAGGAGGAGGAGGAGGAGGGGATCCTGCATCTGCTGCCATCAGTCTGCGAGGAGCAGAGGGACGGCTCGGGGAGGAGACAAAGCCCAGTTCATTTCCTCGTTTCAAAGGCCATGCTGCGGTTTTCCTCGCTGTTTTACACACCTGGTGATAGGAAAAAGGCACATTTCTGGGGTTTTTTGGTGGCTTTCTGAGGTGGTTTTGGAAACATCATCTTTGCAGTGTGTTCAACGTCAGATGGGCACTGTGAACTTCCCCAAATGCCTCTGCAGGCAGCCTGGGAGGAGCTGTTTCCCCTGGAATTGTGTCGTGGCTTTTGTGCAGGGAATTCTGAGAAAGCTCCAAGGATCTGATGCCAGCAGGGCAGTGTTTTCCAGGTGCTCTGAAAAGAGGGCGTTGATTTCTTTGTTTATTTCCCAATTCTTCCCTTTCCCACGGATGTGAGACAAGCAAAGCCACTCGCTCGTGAATGCTCACTTTGAGAATGACAGGGAAACAGAAATGTGCTTTCCTTGCTGTTTGCAACCTGGGAGAATGGGGATAACTGGGCTGAGGGTGTGTCTGGCAGGGAACTACGGCTCCCAGCAGCTCCTCTCTCCTGGATGGTTCCTTTGCGCATGTTTTTAGGGAATTAATGTGATTAAAAAAAAAAGAAAAAACAAAAAAAAGAGCCACCAGGCAAATAGACTCTGAGGCATCCAAATCACAGGAGCAAATGTGAAGGTCAGCTCTGGGCTGGCTGTGGCTCCTTTTGTTTAGGAAAACACATTAGCATGGAGCAAAGGGCTGGCTGTGCACGGGGATGGAAATGAGCAGGGCTTGGCAGCAGGGCCCTTCTGGGTTCCTGGTGGGGAAATGCAGCTGCTCATTAGCAACGATGCCTTTTGAAGTGACCCGGAGCCAAATGGCAGCTCCTGCTCCTGCCTGCCTCCGGGATTGGCTCAGGCAGCCACTGCAGGGAGGTTTTCATGGGGGTTTGGGTGTGCAGTGCGCGTGGAATGGAGGGAAATGGATCAAAATCAAGGATAAAATTCAGATTAAATAAATGTATGGCTTTAAATCCGGTACTTTTCGCTGTATTGATGGTAAAGCAGATAATCCCTCTCCATAGGGTTGGTGGTGCAGATTCCAGACCTTCCCAGGGTAAATGGCACACGCAGGATGGAGTCACCATCCCTGGAAGTGCCCAGAAAATCCCTGGAAGTGCCCAAAAATGGCACTTGGGGCAGGGTTTGGTGCTGAACACGGTGCTGTTGCAGGGTTGACAGTGACACTTGATGATCTTCAAGGTTTCTCCCAACCTTAACAATTCTCAGTTTCAGCAGGAATTTCCTCCTGGGAAGGGTTAAACCCGGGCAGGGCTGCCCTGGGAGCTTTGGATTCCCCATCCCTGAGGTGTCCAAGGAATTTCTGGGCAGGGTGGGGACTGCTCACAGCTTAGACCTGATGGCCTTGGGGGGCTTCTTCAGCCTCAGGGCTCTGACTCCATGGCAAACCTCATGCCACAGCACCTTGGGCTGTGCAAGGATCTGATGCTGCCAGGGCTGCGTTTTCCAGGTGCTCTGGAATGAGGGTGTTGATTTCTTTGGTTATTTCCCAGTTCTGTCCTTTCCCATGGATGTGACTCACTTGTAAAGATGGACCTTTGGAAATGACAAGGAGCAGAATTGTGTTTTCCTTGCTGTTTATAAACTGGGAGAATGGGAATAACTGGGCCCCCAGGGCAGGACTGCCCCACCAAGGGAGGTGCTGACATCTTCTAAAATACCCAAAGCCACCTGAAAACATCCCCAGAGCATTTTTTGGACCCTGTTACAGCTTTGGCTTCTGAGGTTGCTTTCGACCCAAGAATTTGAGTACTGGAGGTGCATCAGCTAAATTCTGACTGGGACAAATGTGGGGCATCAGCAGCCTCAGCCCAGCTGCCGGAAAAGCTGATTTTTGGGGAACAGCACACAATGGGAGGTTTATCCTGCACAGCAAGTGCAAATTGCTTTAAGATTCCTCTGAAGAAGCAGCAGCAGCAGCTGTGGGGTAGAGTCACATAGAGCTGTGCTTAAGAGCAGGGGGAGTTATCTGAATTCTTCAACGTGAATAATAATTAGGATGGAGAGCTGAGCAGCAGAAATCACAGAGCAAGAGCAAGATAAAAATTGTGCTTGTGCCTGAAG